TTTGAAAGTGTCCCTCATCAAAGATAACAACCCGTATTTCTTGTGTGGCTTAAATAAGGCCAACCCTGTCATGTTAACAAAACAGATGTGTCTGTTTAAATCAAGTGGTAAATGTAATACTTTTAAGGTGGCAGGAGTTTTCCTCACCATGTCAAGGTACCAGTAAATCTTCTGGCAAATTTTATCCTCCCCACACACTAAAATTCTCCTCGTCAGGTCGTATTGGGTGACAGATCTACAGGCAGCGTGACAGGGGATCGCAGCAATGAGCGTCAGCAGTCTGAACTCGCGTGTTTACTTATAGACACCTGAAACAGGAAAAAGACAAAAATTTACCATCTTTGATACAAGATAGCTCATTAGCAGTGTCTGAAAAATTATACTCTTACGTCTTTTTGTTCAATGTTTAAAAATAATTTAAAGAATTTGAGAAAGTGTATTTTTTATGAATTTGGTTTGGTGGAAAAAAGTGTGTAACTTTTAATTAGTTGTAATTTTGACACATGAAGTCATTGTAAGTATCTGATAATTTTCCATCAGTGTATGTTTTCATTACTGGATATATCTGCTCTCATGCTTCTTGTCAGCTTGCTCTCACTTTCCATAGGTATGTGTCAGACCAATCTGTGTCGGTATTGTAAAGCACATACAGAGGCACTGCACAAACAGAATAGGCCACAGCTAAATAAAACAGACACAGAATGGCATGAATCATGGAACTGCTTATGTGCAGCATTTAAATTAATATGTTTTTTTAGTTAAATTATTAAGTCAAGTCATTAAAAGAAGTTTATTCAGGAATTAAATTTAGATAAAAGTGTGTTTCCACCTCATTTGTGGTAATGAAGAAGAATTTTTTATTTATGCGATGACACATGTGTTGACACCTGCACCCCTCGTTCCAGGAACTACCCCTATCCCGAGTCACCCGGGTCATGTTTTGCACAAATGAAAATCGTCATTCTCAGCATTTACTCCACTTTTAGACCTTCTCATGTGTCCTCTGTACTGTATTACAGATTGAGTCTTACATCTGAATGAAGCCAGTAATCGCGTACGCCCGGTGCTCTCACCTGTACCTGAAATATGACACCAACCTCATTCACCGCACACGCCACATGAGCCAACATAGCAGCATCATGTGAACATATTTTGCTCTTAGCACTGCGTATTTGCACGTAGGAGATGCATGCTGGCTTTTGTGTGGAGTTGCCATGGTACGCTGAATCTTGTGATGTAACTATTGGGTTTCTTAGAAGCCCATTGGAAATAGGTGGGAGTGAGGAACTTTGCAGTGTGGTGTGAGTGCAGGATCCCTGTGGGTATAACAGTATTGTTGGCCGCCTGTCAGGAAGTCTCATCCGTTAGCCTCAAAGTCTGAAAGCATGTCAGCACATATTTACAGCGGGAACCCACTGGCTGGGGCGGACAGGATCTGCTGCACTTTTAATGTTACTGAAGAGCCTTTTTTCCAAATCTCATATCAGTCGACGGCCCTTAACTGTACTAAGATACTCACTCATTCCAGTCATAGGATATTGACAAGTAGGAAGTCAAAGTCAACCAGATATCATATTGGCAATGTTGAAGAAATGCCTAAAGATTCATTGGTTTCTGCTTCTCCAATGTGAGGATTTCTTGCTTTTATCTGAGCACATTTGGATTTTGAATTTATCAGAAGATAAGTGAAGACAATTCTGGGTTTGGACCCAGATAAGAAGATGCAATGGGCATTTTAAATTGTTAAAAGCCACAAAAAGCCAAACTATTTAAAAAGATTAGTCATCCAAATGAAGGCCAGTGTGCACAAAGGTGAATTTGTTTTTTTTAATCTTTATTGTTTCATGAACCAAATAATTTCATTGGTATTGAAAATTCTTTCAACCTCTGTGAACGTCTTGGTAAAATATGTTTTCCCTTTTTCAGGCAGCAATAATTTTAGACAGTTGACATTAGCTCTTCTATGCTATGAAGCACACTGCTGTGTCATTTTTACAAATAAAATGATAGGTGTCTGAACTCTTCCCTCGTACCCATGGAAGATGCATCTGTAAATTGTTACAATCATCTACAGGTCTCCCTCATTTTAAAACTAAAATCATGAGGCTCTCTGTTGCTATAACACCTTTCTCTGATGGTATGAGCATATACCAAGCTTAGCTTAGCCAGGCTTATCCAATACATACATTGGGTCTTGACCACCACACAGTTTTTGCTCGGTGGTATTCTAAGAATGTCCAGCGCCCGTCCAAGAGCCGATGGTTTGGGGGTCCTGAGCAAACTAGAGACTGAAATGACTTGTGCATGGGACTCCTTGCCTCTTGCAAAAATAGCTTCACCTATGCATTGATGAATTAGCGATCTGTCCTTGTTGTGGTCTTACTTAGCCAGACTGTTTTCCACATCAGTTCTCTCACTGCTACAAGCTAAGCAGGAAGTGTTCTGGTTCTATGTTAAAAAGGGATTTTGGAAAAGGTAAGGCAGGGGGAAGTAAAAAGACCCAGACAGAAATTACTAAACCAACCTGAGGATTATTCAAGTGAATAGCATCTGCTAAGCCTGACTACCCTTGTCTACACATTTTTATAAATCTTGAAAATGTGAACTTGTCATTGGTAGTTTTCCATTCACCCTGGAGGGATCAGGCCTTTTCCGAATATCCCTACAAAGCTTTTGTTATCCCCTCAGTAAGGTAGTGGGTAAGCAGGATTTCCGCTTTCGCAATTCACAGCGTCCGTGACGGCACACATTATTTTAATACGCTTGCCAGACTGTGTAACACCAGTTAAGAACATGGGTGTGGGGGGCGAATAAAAAAAACATTTCCCAATGAGACTCCAAGAGAATTTGGAAGTGTTGTTCGGTGAACTACACCTGCACATCAATCAAAGCTGGAGGAAGAAGAACATTTCCTATATATTGTGTCACTGGAAAAGACTTAAGAAGTTCAACAAACTTTGGCCCATTTTGGTTCCTGCCTGACTTGAAACCCAAATCCTTTGTTTTGACGTTGTTGAGGTGCTGTCTGACTTGCCAACATGGTTTCCTAACCCCTCGGTTTCCTTACAGTGCAACCCAAGAACACTACCAAAACACACAGTTACCAAACATTCACTCAAAAACAACAGTTTGATAACATCTGAGACTCAACGTGTTGACAACCCACAATCCTGACTGACTGAGATATGAAAGTAATCTATTTTTTGCTCCTAACATAATTAACAAGCCAGAATATTAGGTCCCTTAACTGAATCTCAGAGTTATAGTGTAGTTGCTTCTTAGGCACCTCTAGAGATGTAACAGATTTACATATAAATATTCAAATAATGTATTCCTTGCTTTGATTCAGATCTTTTAATGGTTGTATTGTAGCACTTTGTGAAGCTGTTTTGGAAAAAGATCTTATCTCCAACCTTGTGGTCATCCAGTTAATGATGGATGCTCAGTAGAGCAGTTAAAATGTGAAAGAAGTTTTCACTCTACCTGGTTTATAAAGATTTTCTAACCCAAACTTTTGTTGTAATTCTTTCTGCTGCATATTTGAAAACTGAGAGATCATGTTGTATTCCTGCTTGTCTCTTTGACATCCATTAAAAATGAAGGCATTTAAAAGTGAATCATGCTTAGGTATCATACATAGTAGCAGGACTTTTATTACCTTCACCAAGGAGGTTATGTTTTCGCCAGAGGACCGTTGGGCCTTGGTATGGACTACTGACTGTAACTTTAGTTGTGTTAGAAAACCTCATGTTAAATAAAACAAACTTTTATAAAGGCAGCTTTATTGAGCTCCGTCAACACTTACTTTTGGCCAACGTATAATTTTTCAGGTTTTGATTGCAGTGTTTTCCTTCCTGCTTTGATTTTAGAGAAGACAATGCAGTGTTGAAGGCAAACAACACTTGGTGATTATGACATTTTCAGCCTGTTGGTGTCAGGATATAAAATTGTGAAGCAATCTCAACATCATTACCAACACTGAGTTCCCCTTATAGCCACATTATTTCATCATGTATAGCTGGCATACATTCAGGAGCAGCAGCCAGCCTATATTCTTGAGCAGCAGCCAATTCTCCGTCGGTTCATAATAATTACCCGAGACAAGTTCCACAAAGGCACTGATGTGTAGCACTGCATGGCCATTATTCAACTGACAAAAGCCTGCCTTATGCTCCTATTTTCAGCCTCAGTAACATGTTGTGATGGGTGAGGGGGCTGGGGTGGAGGGGTTAATGTTTTTATACCAAAGCGCTTAATATCCACGTTGTGCAAGCTAATTAATTATCTGTGTTTTTTTTCTTCCGTTTTTCCAGTTCCCAAGAAGAAGAGAGGCCAATATCTCCTTTCTACATGAGGTAGGCTTCCTGTCTCTCCACTGGCAGAATTGGGTGAGAGTGTGTTGTTTTGGACAGGGGGTGGGGACAAGTGGCTGTGTGCTGCCTCAGTGCATTATCATCGGAAACAATGGAACCACCAGTTAGAGGGAAAGCAGGGCAGTGTGCACATGCAACAGTTCTACTCACCACTGTTTGTTATTGTGGCGGAGGAAACCACATCACGTGTTTCAGACACAGCAGCGAAGCAAAAGAGATGTCGGGGTGAAGACGCCGTTTCAGAATGATGTCATAGTTAAGGTTATTGAACAGTTCAGTAGGAATTATATATGGAACAGAAATTATTGGTAGATTAATTAAGTAGTTGACAAAAAAACATCTGTCTACAACTATTTTGATAAACA